CCGAATTGTCTAATGGAGGGGGTCGGGTCTTCCATTGAAAGCCCCAGGAGCCTCCGGGTATTGACAAGCAACTTGTGCGGCCCTTCGGCCAATCCACAAAGAGTTCAAGGTGTCCGAACGCTCAGGAGATCAAAGCTGACAGCATCGAAGATATTAGCGAGGCGCCTGCGCAGCCTGCGCTGAACCTCGTTTTGGACTCGTTTGTCGCTTGCGTGTCGGCTTGGTTGACAATATACATGGTTGTGGGGAATGGTTGGTGTTAGGTTGCTACCTTTCCAAGGGCGCCCCCCTAAGAGTGCCAGTGTAGTCATAGGAATGCTCCAGTTCGGTATCATTTGCGCAGCCATTCACTGGAATCTATGTTTTTCCGACAGGATTCTTGCCTTGGCCCTGGGCAATAGGACTTTGCACGGAGGGACCAACCGTTTTTGTTTTGAGCCCAAAATTGGCCCCTGACTCGTCGCAGGTTGGGCTTTCTGCAAAGGGGGTGGCCTCAGGCCTCGTCCCCTTTGCAAGCTACGCCCTGGTTTCAAACAAACTCAGGTCCCCCAGCAATTGGTGCCCTTTCTCACCCCTTTGGGAGGGTTCCCCTGCCAAAACCACCAAAAAAAGGGTACCCTTATTTAACCTCTCTACTGAAGGACCTAGCTTAGTAAGGAAAATGTGTTTTGGGAGAAGCACATTTGTGCTGGACACACTTGAGGGTTTGATCGTGGTTGATCGTGCTTCGTGGGTTTAAGAACAGACTCGGCAAATACTAAGCAAAAAGGAAAGCCCGCTGTGTGGCAGTTTCTTGGGCTTGGGCTGCAGGGGGTAGTCTAATCGGGGGTTCTGGGCAGGCCCAAAGAATGATTGCATGGGTTTTCTTGGGCAAGCCCTTTACTTTAGTATTGGTGCGAATCTGAGATATCCTGAATTCCGTGGGGTTTACTAATCGTGCACTGACATGAAGAGTGGTACGGGACTTGTTTTGTTAGTTGTTGCTAGTGCAGGATTGTTGATTGATGCATTTTTTACGTAGACTCACAGTGAAGCAAGCAGGAGGTTGCTAATAATAAGGAAATCATAGAGGGGTATTTCTGTCAAGGCTTTTACCTACACACCGCAGACCACGCCCCGCTTCTGCACTTCCTAAGGCTGTCCCTTGGGATTCCAGAAAGGACTAGTCCGACAGGAAAACTTGACACTCAAACACAGCTGCTGTGCATTTGTGCATTTTGCCAGGGGATGTTAGGACTGAACAACTTTTGGCCAACTTTTGGGGGTTTTCCGTATTGAACCACTAAAAGTTGAACTTTGCTTGCAGGGGAGCAGAAAGCAACCGAGGCTGTGCATGTGTGCTTTGTTGAGGGTGCCCTTTTCTCACTTTGGCTAGGGAAACCAAAAAGAAAACCATCATCTTGGGAGTCACCCTATTGTGACGATGTTGAAAGCCCCCAATGAAAGCATGCAATAGGGAATTACTTGTAGCCGGACTGAGTGACATTGCCTGGCAAGCCGCGTATTCGAATCGCACACTTGCCAGCCCAACCCAGGGCTCCACGGCTTTTCCCCAATGGCCTTCGTGCCACTTTTTGTGAGCAACCTCAGTTTTTTGGTTTTCTCATCCAGATACAGCTAGGTGACATATGGCACATTTGTTTTTTGGCTTGGTCTCCCCCTAACAACTGGGGATTCTGGCATCTACTTTCACCTTGCATGCGCCAGGCTTCGCTTTTCATAGAGTACATGCGCCTGGGATGCAGATGTTCAGATTCGGCTTGGAGCTTCCAGAGAGCAGAAGCTCTTTGGTCTCTTCTTTTGGTGGGTAGGGACTTTGCTGAATGTGGTACCCTTTAGTCAGTCGGGAACCGATATTGTATTGAGGAGCTTTCCAGGATGAATAACGTTGTCGCCATGATTATTGCCCATACCCCCTGTGCACTGTTGTTGGCTTTTGCATGTTCTGCAAAAACCATGGACGACAACCCGTGGTGGGTCATGTACGCCTAACAAAGAAATGGCTTGATTTACCTTGGCAACATCTTATACATTTGCCTTCACTTCACGAAGCTCCGTTTTCTCTTAAGACCCATGGGAGAGGCAAGGGTATCCGAACCGTTTTTAGAGTTTGGTTTTGCCATGGTTAGAACAGTCCATGTGTTGGTTGCCACTTTCTGCAATTGGGAAACAGCTCAGGAGTCGAAATAGGAGGGCCACCGGATCGAAAGGGTTTTCCATCGAGGAAGCTGATGACGAAGGTGCCGGGGAACAGCTGGAGACTCGCGGTGACGCTGCTTTTCGATCAGCTGAAGAATGCGCCACGGCAAAGCAGATCGGCGCAGGACGTCGGAGCTTTTTTCCCCTATTCTTGAGCAAATAAGATCGTAGCCAAACGCAGCAAGGAAAGCAAATCGCCCTTTTTACCCCCACTTGCCTCTCAAAAAACACCAAGAGATATTCCGCTCCGCATCTTTGTGGGCTTTGACCACAAGCTTCTTCGTACCAATCGTTGGGCTCGAGACTTGGGGTCGTAGCACTCCTCAAGTTCGGGGGGCTCAGAAGGCTATGGGCGCGAGAGTGCGAAGAAATAAACAAGCAAGCGACCAAGGCACAAACAGACACCACAAAACAAGCCAGCAAGCTAACATGCAAACACACAGACCTAACAAGCAAACATACAACACAAAGACAGTCAACCGCACACAAGCAATCAATTCACAAAAGCGCGACCAACCAACCAGCCAGCCAGCCAGCCAGCCAGCCACCCAGCCAACCAACCAACCAACCAAGCAAAGCAATCAACCGAGCAAGTAAGTCAGCAAGCAATCAAGCAAGCAAGCAAGCAGGCCAAGACACAACGAAGTAAACACGCAAGCAAGCAAACAGGCAAGAGCAATCACACCCGTAGACAAAGAACCAAACACACAGACAAACACACTACCACTACCACTACCAGGTATCACTACCAATACCACTACCAGGTATCACGCGCACACGCACACGCTTACGCGCACACGCATACGCGCACACAGACGCACACGCGCACACACTCACACACCGAAGCGCGGAAATAAATAAAGAAATGATCACTTAATTACATACAGAAACAAGCAACCGAGAACAAGCAACCAACGAAAGAGAGAAATAGAGACATTAATAAAGAAGGAGAGACCGACTGCGGAAGGAAAGAAATAATGAAAGGAATGAAGAAATAAAGCAAACACACAAGACATAAATACACAAACATAAAGAAAGAAAGAAAGAAAGAAAGAAAGAAAGAAAGAACGAGACAAAGCAAGAAAGAAAGGAACACAAAGAAATAACGACAGAAAGACCGAACTCAACACCCAACCTTAGCCCAACCAAACAACCCATCAATCGGTGTAGTTATTGGTTTTTTTGGATGAAGAAGGCAAGAGGAAGCCGGTTGTATCAAGGCCAGGCCTCTTTTTTTTTCCCGGGTCCCAGGCATATGTCTGGTTCACCCTGGTCTCCTCTGTCTACATGGTCAACGCCGCGGACTCAGATATGGGTCACCTGTAGCCTGGGCTCAGGCAACTTGATGAAGTCTTTCAGGGCTCCTAAAAAAAGAAATCCTTTTGAAACATGTGGCTTTTTCAACACCAAAAAAAGGGAAACCTCCATTTACAAGTTGCAATGTTCAGGTGTATAATGTAAGGATCCCTGTCTTTTGCTCTTCGACTCCGTCCTGAACCTTTTCAACTTGGTTGAGAAACGATGGTGTTACCACCTAAAACAAGATGTGTGTTTTCTGATCCCGTTTAATCTTTCACAGGCAGGTTCAACCGCTGTTTGAATGGTACGGGAGCAATCCTTGACAAGAGAAACAGATCACATCCATTTATCTGCCATCTATTCGGTGGGCCAAATGCTTCTTCTCACCAGGAAGTTGTTGGTTGCTTTGGGGTGCTCCGTGTTTTGCGAATACAGCCAAGCCGTTCTAAAAAACAAACCCATGTCAAGGTGGCAACACACACACACACAAGTTGCTTGATTTGTTGACGGGTTCTAGGGATTGAAGTGCCGAGCCATCATTCAGAATCAGAGGTGCCCCGGGATCAAAGAAATTTGGGCCTGACATACCGCTTCCATGGAGCTATATCTGGAGGTCTGTGGTCCATATCCATGGCGCGCATGTATGTGTTTCATGGATTGATGGGGTCCCTCATGTTCATGTTATTGGAAGCCCCCAAAGAAACACGCAACCCAAAGTATTCACTGGCATCCATGCAAACATGCCCAGGGCCCCCAGTAGTGCCCTGAAAACCCTTTCTTGGGGAAGGGTTCTACTAAAATAGACATTCAGAAAAAGAAGCGGTACCAACTTATTCTACCCTTTCTACTGGAGGACCTAGATGCCGAACATAGCATATATGTTTGGGACTGCCAAAGCAGACGCTGAACCACTGAAACGCCAAAGGGGCTCGTTTGGCTGGGAAGCTCAACCTGTAGGAACCTCCTTCCAGCTGGCCTCTACAAGGGGGGCTGCTCCGAAAAACAATGACGAAGGTGTAGAAGATGCATCTTGGGGCCTTGGGTTTCCTGGACCCAATTTCTCCCCTATCTTCGGAAGCCCTTCGGTGGTGTCGCCTTTCGGTGAAAATTTCAGAAGCAGTCGCTGAGAGTTGGTCAAAGCATATCAATATTTTTCAGCCGGACTTCCACTAGGTCCCATTTTACCAACTTTTTTGGGGGGAGGGTTCCCCTGCCAGAATAGACTTCCTAGGAAAAAAAGGTTGGTACCCTTATTCTAACCCCTTCACTGGAGGACCTAGTCCCGTGCCAGTTGCACATGCCGCGTGAAATAGTTGGGGCCCACAGGCCCAAAGGCGCCAAGCTTGTGGCTTATCGCTGGTTTGTGGATCCATCAACAAACCTTCGTTTCCCCTGGTTTCAATTTGGTGCGAAATGGAGTTCGTCCATCCACAGCATGAATTCCCGCAAAAACCGCCAAGTGCCAGGTTGTCTTTGGCCACGGGACCAGCAAGACCAGCCAGGACCTGGTCCTCCGGATGGTTTTTACCCTCGTTTTTATTCAGAGTAACAGGGGGGCACATGCCCTTTTGTGGCAAAAAAGAGGTTGCATGTATCCCATTAAACCATGTGAAATCCCTGGGTGGGAATGGTTGGGGAGGGGACATTATTTGCGAATGGGAAATATGTTGCTGGTTGCATTGCTTGCATGTTTCGGTCTTTCTGCTGCTCATTTTTGTCTTGTGAATATTCTGATTTGGATCATGGCAAGTAGCCAACCAGAAGATCAATCGCCCTCTTGAAGACTTGTCTGCTGAACTGCAAGGGGTGGTGAATGAGCTCACCGGTCAGCACGAGCTTACGGATGATAAAGCTTCCTTCGGTGAAGGGTCCAAGTAAACATGGTTGTTGTTGGGAAACATTTTACATCATTGCTTATTGTGGTTTTATTGAACAAATCTCACTTAACTGCTAAAAAACATGCTCCCCTTCCAACGTCAACCAAGTAAAGACCAAGACGTGTGCCATGGTCATCCTGCACTTGGATTTTGCCAGGGATAGTCATCCACGCTGAGGGAACCATGACCCACAGAAGAAATTTAGACCATCACATGGGTCCAATGCTTGTGAGGGTATCCTTCTGGGGACTGCTTGAAAGGAATAGACAAATGAAGCCACCCTGTTTCGGGATCCACCAATTTGAGAGACAAGGCGAGAGACGAACACTAGTTTATTGGTTCACGACACCTTCATTATGGGTGTGCCTGACATAGCCTCATTCACGAACGCCATGCCTTGAGATGCCCAATCCGGGGGGTGTCCTAAGACAAGGAACCAGACAAGGACATCCTCAGAGTCACCATCCAGCTTCATTGGGGCACGCAATATACCCCTGGCGCTTTGGAACGAGTCAACCAAAACACTCGCGAGGCTCTTGACGTCAAGCTACCAGAGTCTCAGGGGAAATGGGCTGGAAGGCGGTTTTTTGGAACGAGTCAACCAAAACTTGAAACACTCGCAAGGCTCCGTTGGTCCCTTGAGTCCACCAAAGCTCTCGCGATAATTTTTGTTCCTTGACGTCAAAGTATTACCAGAGTCTAGGGGGCAAATGGCTGTGGCTCAAAAAACCGGTATCAAAATGGAACTGGTAAGTGAAAACATGGACCAAAACCCGCGTAACCCCTCCTGCTTAATTTTGAGCCACGCCCAAATGGGGTGGAAGCCAATGCCTTTAGCTTCTTTTCGAGTGTTGGCTGGAGCTTCAACTGGTTTACTTTTTTTTGGGACACTGACTTCAGACACATTTTCGGAGTCCATGAATTTGTCATCCTCTCCACAGGATTGCAATCTCCCCTTTGATCCTGTTGAAGGTATCTACGCTCTTGAGAGCTATTATTTTGTAACATTGAGATTGTCGAACAGCAAACCTTAATTGGCATTTTGTCTTGATCTGGCTCTGGGCTCGTGCAAGGATCGACCCTCCAAAGATCATTGTTCAGGAAGAATGGCACTGGACACGGGGCCTTTGGAGATGACAGTAGACTTTCAACTTCCAAGCACTCTTGTCCTGAAAAGAGGACACCTTTGCTATTGTGCTGTTTTGCTGCCGTACTTGCTCAGCTGTGCACAGTGCAAGAAGCCGGGCCACGAGGGCGGGCGCGCAACTGCGTCCAAAGAGCATGCAAAGAGCGCCTTAGTTGGAGACCGTGAGTTCCAGAAGCATCTTACAGAAGCATCTTAATTACAGAAGTCGTCCGGCCACCTTCAGTTTACATCAAAAATGGACTCCTGAAGTCTGTGTTTTTCGAGCTTATTCAACAAAAACAGAAGTGCAAAGACCCATCTTGTGTTCCCCCCCCACCTCCCCCCGACTTTGACACATAACGTGAGACCTGTGTTTGACTTTCAGCGCATGGTTCTTACCGATACCCAAGGCTATGGGCTGAAACAACAGTAGGCAGGATATTGGTTGAGTGGATACGCCATCAGTTACTCACCTTTTGTTTATTGTTTGTACCATTGGGGCATTAATTTCAATAGGAAACACCATCGAATATGCTTGGCGTACACGAATCCCTACATGTTGTTCGCGAAACCTCGCCTCAAAATCGTCCCCATGCAGCTTCGTCTATGGTCAGTTTTGGCAGGGGCATGGCGACCTCCCTGAAATTCAGAGGGTCTGAAAGAGAAGTTTCTCTGATAGTTTTTTGAGGGTGCCTAAAAAACCTAGCTGGAGTGCAGAAAGTGCTGAGATGGTACCAAAAAAAAGAACAAGTCTCAGGGACTCTTGGGCTAGCCTGGGTAAAAGTCGGACACCCAAGGGGCAACACAACCAGCCCCTTTGACACATACCCAACTTTCTAGGGGTGGATTCCCCATTCTTTTCAATTATCGTTCTTTCCAAAAACCGGCCGTTTTTCCTGGGTTTCCGGAGGTTTTCTAGAAAGATTCGGATCCCTGGGAAGAATGGAAACGGAAGGTACCCCTAGAAACTTGATATCCGCACGCCTCACGCATGACGCTATGGCTGGGTACCTGGGCAGATGCCGAGGCAGGGTGGTTGAAATCCAAGCACTTCACTGCTAAATGTTGGATTTTTGCTCTCCTTCCAACGTCAACCAAGTCGGGTCGGGTTATTTTTTTGATTTGTATATGAGCCGTCAGTCCTCATTGTCGTCGTGGCATCGGATTTCGCTACAGTAGGTGACAGCAAATAGTGGTTCGACGTTGAGCCACCAAAACTGACGAACCATCCTCACAAAACAAAGGGGGCCCCTCGGCCCCCCAAAGAATTCCTCTGAAATGATGGTCTTTAAGTCACATATACTTCATACTTGAGCAAGCTACTTCGCACCCCCACCCTCCCACCCCCACGCCCGCTACCCCCTACCTCGTGACCCCCTCTTAAGCTCCGCTAAACCATCCAGAAGCAGATGTTGCTCATCACCAGCAAGCGGTTCGAAGCCATTCCCCCAACAACAAGACGAGAAAGACACCCTGGGAATCCAACGAACAGAATTCGCAACACATGCCCAAGAGGATCCCCAAAGATACCCGCACAAACAAAGCATTCCCAAAGACATGTCCAAAGGAAAGTCCACGCAAGCGCCTCCAAAACTATTCCAAAGACATCTCCCAAGACTTACCCAAGACCTTCCTGAAAGCACAGCCAAGACATCCCCAACAGATTCAAGGACATGTCCCACAGACAAATCTCCAATGACATCCCCAAAGGCCAGCCTGAAATCCACGACATTCCAGCATCATCCCCAAATACATCACCCAAGACAACTGCAAAGACAACCCGCAAAGACATGTCCAAAGACTCCCCCCCCTCTAACACACATTCTCAAGCCATCCCCAACCTTCCGAAGACATCCCCAAGTCATCCCCGAAAACATCACCCAAGACAAGCGCAACGACATGTCTTTGGACCGCAAAGGAAGGGAGGCCAGGGCCGGCCAGGCTTGCCCCCCCCCCCCCTTAAGGCCCTCCCCCCCGACCAGAAGCCCCCCCCCACGCAAACGCAAAAACATCCCGGAATTCCCGGAACAACCGCACGGAACAACCGCACGGAACAAGCGCGCAGACATTCCAACACACCCAAAGATATGTCCAAAGATATCCCTAGGCATCCGCCCAAAACACCTTGAAAAGACCTCCCCAAGCTGCCGAAGCCTGCCTACGAAAAAAAATAAAAAGTCTGCGCGCCTTCCAAGGCACCGCGACTGTGCGCCTGTCAGAGTGCGCCTGCGAAAGCAGGTGGAAAGTGCTGCGGCAGGTTGGAAAGAGCTCTGAAGCGCCGCTCCTGTCGCGAAAAGTGAGCTTGCCACAAATCCAAACACGATCGAAGTGCTGCGCCTGCCACAAAATCCAGCTTTGACGTGTTTACCACGCGTATCCGAAATCAGCACGGGAATGTGGCGCCAGAATGATTTAGACCGATTTAGACAAACAACCACCCCCGAAGCGCAAATCACAATGGCACGGCGAAGCGGCGCTCAACGTCGGAAAAGCTACGACTTAGGTGCAGGCGCAATAAAAGCAACATGGCTGTGGCTGCAAAAAAATGGTACCAAAATGGTACCTTGGTAATGGAACCTAAGACTAAAACCTGCGGTTTGCCCTAGCTCTTTATTTGTGAGCCATACCCACATGTTGCCAGTCATACAACTTGCACGTTCTGAGCCTTCCCCATGCCATTATCATCACATCGCGGACAGTTGCGTTGCGAATGGGCGCGAACACGTCGCGTCCTCCACCGTGTCCCTTAGCTACGCATTCGGGAAACATGTTGGTTCTCCTTTTGGTTGTCCTTTAAAGCTCGGACAAAAGGGTACCCCCCAACACAGGCTCTGTTGCCGAGTGGTGCCATTGTTTTAACTTTGTTTGTGTTTTTGTTGGGTTCCCCGTTACAAGCTCGACACCAACTTGTTTGGTTTTTCTTTGGGGTTCCCCTTTAAAAAACCTCCACCAACAACAAAAACAGTTCGGGTGATTTCCTTTTTTTCCCATGGAAATCAGTGGGCTGAGAAGACGCACCCATTTAGGAGTGTCCTATTTTTTGGGGGACCCCCCAAAATCACGGCTCGCCTCTTGGTTTCCCTTTAACTCCATTTGCTTGAGAATACTTGTTATTTTCGCTTGTTGGGTTTAAAAGGAATTCATCACTGAACATATTGTTATTTTTTCCTGGGGCCTTAACCAAATGGAAGTTCAAAACCCACCAAAAGGGGCCCTTTTACCCCTTTTTGGACAAAAAAGGGAAAAGAAACGGTACCAACTTATTCCCCTTATTCTAACCTCTCAAATCTGGAGGACCAAAAGGGGGGGGAAAAAAGCGAGCGACCCATCTGCATCCCAGTCGCGCGCGTTCCTTGAGCGACCCCAGCCGAGGCGTGGAGGTCTTCGAGAAGCTGAACCGCCTGGGCGAAGGCCCGGGGTTTTCGGGGGGTGGCCAGGGCCACTGACCCGGAAAGGAAAAAAAAGGAGAAGAACAAAAAAGCAAGAGCCCAAAAGAAGC